TAACAAATGTAGGCAATAAACCGACCTTTATAGCAAAAACAGAATGGAGGTTCTAGATGTAACAATAGCATCAACATACGTGAGTAATTTTGTTACAGACTGGCTTGTGTCTGACGAAGAGAGTTTATCGGATCACAGACACAAACTTCAATAGTAAAGGTAATATTGCAAAAGAAACTTATCGTAATCCCAGGAAAACAGACTGGGAGGCATACAATGCTTCCCTGGAATGTAATCTTTCGAAGATGAGAAAGACGATAAGAACCACAACCGACCTAGAGATGGCTGTGGATGAGTTTAATGACACAGTCACTAGCGCTTTCAACGATACCTGTCTCTTAATAGCAAGGAACTCTATCAGGAAAGTTCCATGGTGGAATGATGACCTTGCTATACTAAGGAAACAGGTGAGACAAAAATTAAATAAGGCTAAAATAACCGGCGAATGGGAACTATATAGAACCATACGCACCCGTTACAATATAGCCTTACGAAAAGTCAAGAGGAGATAACAAGCACTCAAGAATGTGCCAGGCTCCGAAAACTTCTCTCAAAAGACACACAACACACAATAAACACCTTTAAGAATGAACTGGGGGAGTACACAATCACAGGGAAGGAAACAGTAAGGGAACTCTTCAGGGTTCACTTCCCTGGTGCACAAACCATAGCACACACATCGGCTAACCGGAATCTAAACGGACTGGAAGCTCATAATAGAGCCAACAGGGAAGATTGGAGTATAGCCAAACAAGTGGTGAACTACGATAAACTAAAATGGGCAATTAGCTCATTCGAACCATATAAATCACCGGGCATGGACGGGATTTATCCAATAATGTTACAAAGAGGTCCTGATATTTTATACAGCAGACTCTGTAACATACTCAGAAGTAGCATGGCCTTTGGACATATACCAAAAGCTTGGAGAAATATTAGGGTAACTTTTATACCAAAACCTGGGAAAATGGAACAGGAAACTGCAAAGTCCTTAAGACCAATAAGTCTTATGTCCTTTGTACTTTGGAAAAACTGCTAGATAGGCATATTAGAGACGGGATATTGGTTCAGAGGCCAATATACCAAGACCAATACGCCTATAGTGCAGGGAAATCAACTGAAACAGCTCTCCATCAATTAATAAAAAGGGTGGAGAACACACTGGAAAACAAGGAGGTAATGCTGGGAGCATTCTTGGATATCGATGTTGCTTTTGACAATACCTCTGTTGAATCGATCATTAGATCTCTCAAACACAGAGGAATCGAGGACACATGCGTGTCCTGGATCGACTCTATGTTAAGGGAGAGAACTATACACACAACCCTTATGGGATAGACAATAGCTGCACGGGTAGCGAGAGGATGTCCACAGGGTGGAGTGCTGTCTCCACTCCTGTGGAACCTTGTAGTGGACGGGCTGCTTAGGGCTCTCAAAGATAAGGGAAATAGAACCCTGGGATATGCCGATGATCTAGTGATCATGGCACAGGGAAAATACAATACTATAGTAAGAGATCGAATGCAAGAGGCTCTAAATATAGTAACAAAATGAACAGAGGCGAAAGGACTAAACATTAGCCCAAACAAATCTGACATAATATATATTGGCTTTATAACATGGTGGTGAGACTGATAATAACATACGCAGCGTTGGTGTGGTGGCCAAAGACATAGCAAAGGAAAGCAATAACAAGGCTAAGCAGGGTACAAAGACTTGCCTGCCTCGGAATAACGGGGGCAATGAAAACAACCCCCACCGCTGCAATGGAAGCACTAATAGGACTCCCACCTCTTCACTATGTGATACAAGGGGAGGCAAGATTAGGTGCTTACAGATTAGGGAATACACTGGGAAATCTTGACATTAGGCCAGGTCACATGAGTATCTCAAGGTTAGTGACAGGAGACGTGCTAGACATGAGATCAGACCACAAAACCAAGAGGTACTCTTTTAATACTCCATTTGAGGTTTTAATACAGGAAAGAGCGGAGATCACCATAAGGGAGCCCAATGCCCAACGACAGGAACAAACTTGGTATACAGAAGGGTCTAAGACTGCGGAAGGCACTGGGGAAGAAGTATTCTCCAAAAACCCTGATACTAACCACAGCTATGCTATAGAAATACATTCCTCGGTATTTCAGGCCGAGGTATACGCAATTTTGCATTGTGCAAAAACGAACAATGAAAGAGCTGTCAAAAATCAGCATATTCAAATAATGTCAGACAGCCAAGCGGCACTTAAGGCCATATCGAATCAGAAAGTTACGTCGAGGCTGGTATGGGAATGCATCGAAGAACTAAGAACACTGGCAGACCGAAATAGAGTAAAACTATTTTGGGTGCCAGGTCACCAAGGGATTGAAGGCAACGAAAAGGCTGACGAACTTGCAAAAAGAGGGTCAGAAGAAACACCGGAACCAGACAAAAACCCAGGAGTACCAAAAAGTACAGTCCGGGGTTTCATAAACGACTGGATTCGGAAACAACATATCAACTAATGGGGGAACCCCAAAACAAGCACATGGAAAAGCCTTCATAGGCAGACCATGTTCCAAAAGATTAATAGGTAATAATCATTATGTTGCATACGCTGACGACTTTTCTGTGATAGTTTCATCAAATAACAGTGAGGCGTTCTCTTTTACAAAAAATTTCTAACCATTTTAATAATTTAGATTTGTTTTTTATCACTAATGAAACAGACCTCATTAGGTTTTGTAACAGGCAGAATATTCTAGATGATTTTAGCGTTTATTTGGGTAATTCCAGTATTGATAGTACACGCGAAAGCGTTCGTTTTCTTGGGATTCATATTATGAATTTCTTAATTGGAAGTATCACTGCAGTAAACTTGTAGGAAAAATAAATTCACTAAAATATAATTTTATTAATTTATGAGAGGTACTGCAATCTCATCAACTTGTTAGTGTTTACTTTGCTCAAGTCGACTCTCGACTTAGATATGGAGTAATGGGGTAATTCTACAGATGCTTCTAATTTTTTCACTGCACAAAAGCGAGTAATACGATGTATAGCAAACATTTCACAAAGCATGTCCTGTATATCATATTTTAAAAACTATGGAATACTCCCACTTCCATCTTTGTATATTTTTGAAATTTGCGTGTACATCTTTAAAAACAAAAGTTGTATAATGACTAACAGATATGTTCATAGTTATCAAACAATACAAGTTGAAGTGCACGTGTCTTATGCAAGGTTGCACATTAGTTCCAACGCACCAAATTTTCTGGGTCCAAAATTGTTCAATAAACTCCCAATTGAAATAAAAAAATGTGCAAATATTAATATTTTTAAAAATAAATTAAAAATTGTATCTCCTGGAAAAATGTTTTTATTCCTTAGCTGATTTTTTATATTTTTAATATTTTAATCTGTTTAGAATTATAGCGTGATTATATTTAGTATTTTTAATTTTATTTTATGTATTTATTTAGATTTAACCTTATGTTTTAATTAGTGCTATTTCATCTCATATTTTTTTCTTTTTTTAATTATATATATTGATGATGTTTAGTCCCAAACTCTTTGGTCCCAAATACTTAGTTTTAGTTGTTATTTATTTTATTCCCTTATGGTTTACTAGGTTACACCTTCTTTATATAATAAAAAACATGATAAAAAACATAGTAGGAAAAAAGATGTCACAAAAAAGTAATTGAAACATAACGTCGAATAAAAAGTAATTTCACGCATTCCATTGCATTTTTAAACAATTTATTTACACTTTTAAGATCTGTTGATTTGTACACGTTTGTAAATATATGTTTGGAAGAAATCCTGGTCCTTCGTTTTTTCATAAAGCAATACCTAACTCTACCTGTGCTACAGTCGCTAAACCCCACGTGTGCGAGGAAATGTGAGTGCCATCCGTTCAGACGTATCTTATAGAATTGTAATTATTGTCTGTTTGTTTATGATATTGATTTTATTCTCTCGTGGGTACTAGTTTATACAGTGTAGGCCAATTATTTAATAAAACACGCCAAGAAGAAATTATTTAAATATTTTGCGTGATAGGTATAAAGTTGCAAATTCTATATCGTTTATGAATATATTTTTTGTCCTAGATTTGCAACACTTTTGAATTAATTTAGCATTGCAGAATTGGTCATTGATAATTTACAATTATTTGCGTTAAACTTGGAACATTGCAAATTCACATGACATTTACTTATAGAAAGGCATATAAATGGCTCTGTAGAGTTTGCAAAACTTTTCTAATTTTTTTTGCGACTGCAGAAGATTGCGAATTGTCAATTGTTTTTAATTTCGCAAGGTCTCGGACCGTATCAGAGGTTGCAAATTTACCAGGTTGCTAAAAAAAACTAATATTAACTTTTACAACAACTTTTTATAATTTTTCATTTTTTTTGGCAAAATTAGAGTTAAATAAACAATTAGAGTTAAATAACAAATAGAAGGTTGTAAATTGGAATAGCTGTTTCAAAAGTTATGTAATCGATTTGCAGCACTTTTGCAATTTTTTTATCTATACTATAAACAAAAACTCTAAAATAATCATGTTGCGAACTTTCAAAAAGCTAACCTGATGCAATGTTGACGAAAACATTCAAGTATATATTACTTTAACTGTGCAGCATTTTTGCAATTTTTTTCTCAAAATTATAAACAATAGCGCCATTTTGCTATAAATTAACTAATTCCGCACCTTGAAAATAATTGCAAATTTAAATTTGATGTTATTTAAACTAGTCGACTATCCTTTCAAAGTTTGAAAATTGGGAAATTTTCAAAATAGGAAGTCTTCACTGACCTATATTGTCACTTATTAATAACAAAATTCAGTCCACTCGAATGATCAAAAGCAGTGTCACGTGACATGTGAATTGTATTCCCTCCATAGTACATATCAGAAACTAATTATCTTTGGAACTTACTTGATAATAAATACTGTGACAGTTGAGGCAGATATGTAGGCTCTAGAAGTTTTTTGTACGAAACATATTTTTTTATTTATTTAACATTTCTTGAATCTCTGAATAACTTTTACCTTTGGTTTCGGGCAAAATAAACAATACAAAAACAAATCCGATGAAACAAAACGCACTAAATGTGAACATACAAACGTGTATTCCCAAATATTCAGCTACAAGTGGATATGCAAAAGTTATTATAAAAAAAACAATATTAGACGTCCAGAAAACTATACTAGCCCCTAAAGACCTGGCTTCATTAGGAAGCAATTCGTTAATTATTATAAGAGGTACTGGGGCAAGTCCAAAACTATACACAACGGTAAAAGTTACTATAAATATAACCGGTATAATGTTAACCTTTTCAGGTATATACACGTCGTTTTCTTTAAAATAAAAGTAAATTCCTAACATTAACATTGAAACACCACATACACCACTGGAGATCAATATTAAAGTTTTTCTCCCCAATTTTTCGATGAGATTGTAAGCTATGCAAGCTGATGCAATTTTTCCTAGAGCAACCAATATAGCTACGATTTCACCAGAAATTTGGCTGCCAGCTTCATCAAAAAGAGTTGCTAAAAATGACAATACAGCATATATTCCTGACAAATGTTGCATGAATCGAATACCTAGGGATATACCTAAAGCTCTTCTTCCTGACCTAGTCTTGAACAAGGTGTTAAAGTTATTATAACGTGTTTCTTCTCTAGGGTGTAACATTTCTTCATTTTCAAAACAGTCATTTTCATTTTGTTTGAGAGTTTTATTACTTTTTAATTTCGCTAGTTGTTTTTTGACTCCGGTTTTGTTTCTTTTTGAATCTACAAATAAAAGAAATTCAATATACCTAGGTTTATCCATAAAGAAATCATTTAAAAAAATAAATTCCTAAATTCATAAAAAATAGAATCAATTCTGCGTCAGTTTTCTAATTATTTACAGGCTGTTATTTGTATGCTTGTGTAGTTTTGACATTGTTTAAAAACTATCTATTTACAATACATTCAATAATAAAATACATAATAGTGTATAAAAACAAAGCGATTAAGGTCCGATTCCACCGTTGTGTTAAACGGAGATTAAAATGACATTGTTAATATAAAAATGTCATTTTAAACTTCGTTTAACACAACGGTGGTATCGACACTAAAAAAGTAAGATATGCACCTAAATAAAATATCATCTGGTAATAAACAGTGCTCTTCAGATAAAAATATCCACCTTAAAGCTTAATTTATATCCGCCGTAACGTAACTTAAGAACTTAACGTAAAAAGTTGAAATACTGAATTTACGTATACTTATTTATAATGTTCGTAACGTAACTTAAGAACTTAACGTACCGTAGAAAGTTCGCCAACTTTTAACTTAACTTAAGACCTTACGGTTAGCGAATGAGATAATTAGGCATTCCAACGACCTGTCAAACAATATGTGCCAGTGGGAAATTCTTGTATATCTAAGGGGGGTAGCGACATAGTCTTGCAACTTGGACGCTATTTTTATTCGAAGTAGTAGTCGCCAAGCCTGCCAATTTATGAAGAAATGTATAGGTAGGTTTTTTAAATATTATTTTTATTGTGTTTGACATAAAATATTTAAATGTAATCCATTATTCATGATTTTACGTAAAGTAGATAGAATACACCGTATGTCGCCACCCTTAGATATACCAAACCTTCCCACTGGCAATTCATTTGTTTGGAATGCCTAATTCTGAGTTCAGCATGTGATAACTGTCAATTATTCTCTTTTTATTTTTTTTTTATAAATGAATAGACAAATACCATTTGTAAACTATCATTTTCCTTTTTGATGGACATACATTATCATGAATGATTTGTGTTTATGTTATTGGGGATAAACTATTTATGAGATATGAGTGTTGCTGCATATTTATACCTATAAACATCAAGTCTAGAACTGAAATAAGACACAAAATTAGTTTGCTAGGAAAATAAGCCTTCTTCTAGAAGTAATGAGTCCCACTGAGTCCAATATGACTTAACTACTGGAGAGAGTTTTGATACTTCTTGTCAAGTAGGCCGACGATTTTCCTTTTTCCATCGTCGCATCTTCTTTAAAACTGGATCATTCTCTTGTTCTTCCCTAATATAGTTAGGGGCCCACTCGCCGTTAACTAACGTTGTTCTTTGTAGTGCAACTTCTTTAGCAGATGTGGCCAACCCCTTTCCAATTGGAGTTCCCTGACCCAAGGTTCCAGCCTGGCAGGTGCTTCCACAGTTTCTTGCAGCCGCGTTACTCTAATGGTTTTTTACTTCAACCAGGTTCCACCGCACCTTCCTCCACAACTGTCTGCATGGTTTTTTGATTTGCAGTGGTCCTAAGGTGTTTACGTGAACTGCGCATATTTTCCTCTTCATCACAATTCCAGCGCCTCATAGTTTTCGGTTGCTTGTCAGTAAGGCTTTTCATTATTTTAAACAATTGGTCGAATTTATTTCCCAGTTTTTCCTCTTTTACACTCCTTACTTCACTTACTTCAAGAACAGCGGACAAGTCATCTACCAATGTTTTGTGACGGGCTAAACGGAATGTTCTTTGCATTTCGTGGTCATGAAGTCCATCAACAAATACTTAAACAGCCAAACATTCAATCATGTATTCTGGAGCTGATGGGTAGACAAGTCGCACCATCTTCGCAATATCTAATTCGTATTATTGAAGGCTCTCGTCACGTTTCTGTTTGTGATTCTTTATCTGTAATCCGTACACCTGCTCCAAGTGTTCGTAGCCATATCGCATGTTTAATTTATTTTTATGTTAATCAAAATCATCTGCCTCATGCACTGGTATAGCCTGGAGAACATCTAAAACATCTTCTCGAAGGGCGATTGTAAAAAGTATTGCATTCTTTCTTTCAGACCATCCGTTCGCTCTCGCAGCCATGTCGAACCTTTTTAAGTAACTGGTCCTCGACACCTTTCTGTCGAAAGTTGGAACTTTAATAGGAGCAGAACTTATAATTTCTTCTAATTTCAACTTTGACTCCACCTCTTGATACATTATTTTACACTCCTTGGTCTGTTCTGAAGGTTTCAAAATTCCAGTTTATTTTATATTATTTTCGATTTCTTTTATTTTCTCCTCAACGCAAGATAATATTTTCTCCTCAACGGAAGAAATTTCGTTTCTTATAGAAGACATATCAGAAAATATTTTAATTTTCATAGAAGACATTTTCAAATACGAAATATCATTTTTTATAGAGGAAACATCAAAAGAAATTTTGTTCTTCACAGAAGTTGTCTTAGTTTCCACATCGGAAGAAATTATAGCAGAAGATTCATCATCCGAAAATAGATACGTTTCCCAGTCTACTTTATATTACTTTTTTAAGCCACTCTGTCAGCTCGGCCTTCTTCCCTGTCGTCTCCAGATCACAATCATCTAGTTCTTTACGCAACTCAAACACTTTTAAATCGTTCTTTTTGTTTACTATTTATTTACAATCCCATTTGTGACACCACTGTAACGTTCGTTTAATTTATTTATAGTTTATTTATTTAATACACACTATTTACAATTTATTTATGACGTACTAATTAATTTATATAATACTTAGGCACTATTATAACTCACAATTCTAATTTATTTTAAAATAGTTTATTTATTTAAAACATTTTATTTACAATTTATTTATACTACGTAGTAATTATCTTATTTATAATTAAGCATTATTTATATTTTACGCTTTTAACTTATTTATACTAATTTATATTACATTTACTTTATCGATGTTCTCACAGCTATGAATCGACTTCAACTTACTGGCATCCTGTGCAACACAGCCTATTTATATATAAATTGGTATATGGTCTAGATTATTCTCGTTCCCATCATTTTTTAATCTGGAATCTCCGGCAATTTCTCGAATTGCTTCTATAAAGGATCCGCTAGGTTCTGTAACGTACATTTTTAGTCGCTCAAATTAGTAGAGAAAAATTCTATTGATCTTGTTTAAATATACGAAAAAAAGGTAAAACGTTATTTATTGTTGATAAGCTTTTAAAGCCATTATTTTTGTCGTAAACTGGCTGTATGTACTGTTAGCCTTCAGATATCATTATTATAATTTAATTCATCTTATCACTGGACAGGAGTATCGAATTTTGTTCATATTATCTGAGTTTTACATTTTTGTAGTTATTACCCAACAACGGTTTGTTTTAAGATGCTAGATTCTCCTAAAAATAGACAGTCTCGTTGCGAATTTATTTATATGTTATGTATTATAAACCTTACCTTTAGATAATTAATTATTTAAAATGCCAATTTCATTGAATTTGTTTTTCTTTTTGCTCAAAGTAATTATTTTAATAGAGGACTTCTATCACTTCTATACAAGGGAAGTGCAACCAACTTGACAAACTAAAATTGACACTAATGACATAAGAAATCGGGTCACATAAAGTGGCTGTTTTTTTGTTCAATTTTTGGTTTTTCTTATATACTCTTATGCCATTTACATACCATGTTGTACCCGTAACGTAAAAAAGACTTTTTATTTTAGGGTATTTTACATTTAAAGGTTGAAGACATCTATCAATATCAGCTGTCGATAATGTCAAAACATAAGCATAGCATTGCAATTTATTTTTTTATTGTTAATAGTCTATTTGTGTTCCACCCGGTTTCCTTAAATATTTTTTTCATTTGGTTTTATATATTTATGTCAAATGCAAAAATGCTGCTGCTACAAATACAAGTTCCATACACTATACAACAATATACAATACTAGTTACATTATACCCATCTATGGTTACGCCTGTGTTCTACCATCAACATAATTGACAGCTGACACTGACAAATTTTTTCAACCTTTAGATGTAAAATACCCTAAACTTAAAAGCCTTTTTTACCTTACGGGTACAACATGGTATGTAAATGGCATAAAAATATATAAGAAAAACGAAAAAGTAAACTAAAAAACAGCCTCTTTATGTGACCCGATTTCTTATGTCATTAGTGTCATTTTTATTTTGTTAAGTTGGTTGCACTTCCCTTGTATAGAAGCAATGAACTGGAGTGGGGTAGAAAGATAATGTGCATATTGTATCAATTGAACAAGATGCGACTCTATGGGCGCAGCCATTTTTATTTCTCATCTCACTCGGGAGTATTTATAATAACCATTTTCTGTTTCACACTGTTATTGTTCAATCCACAGGCTGGTGGATCAGACAATAACAAAGTGAAATAGAAAATAGTCTTTATAAATACTCCCAAGTGAGATGAAAAATAACCTGTCTTCGCCCATAGAGTCGCATCTCAAGCCTATTGACAAGCATTCTACCCAACTCCAGTTCATTGTATAGAAGTCCTCTCACATACTTTGTGAGTCCTCAATGTTGTTTTAGTTTTGACAGTACGAATTGAGTACGAGTAAATGTCAGTCAACGATAGTTGGCAGTGTCATGTGTTGTTTGTCGTTTAATTTCTGGTTCCGAGTTCCAGGTAATGGTAGCTCCGCAGAGAGCGATTTTAAATCGCTGCGTTCGTTTAAGTGTAGGAGATTTTTTCAAATGTAGTTATCAGAGATAAGGAAGATAGTAGTTATATTGTATATAGATATAGTTCGTAGGATAATTTTTCATAAATAGTCTCAAAGATATATGCTGATAAGTTCTAAGGATGAATTTCTGAACCCACTCGGCTTGTCATTTATCAAGGCGAGACACATACTTTGATTTTCTTCTACTATACGGAGAATGGTCGCACTGCGCAGCTTTCTGAGTGCCTTTTAAAAGGAGATAGAAAACTCCGCCATTTTGTTCTCTTATTACGTGTTGCCTATATC